AAACGCCTTCGAGAACGAGGCTGGCCACGATCCCTGTGCCGGTTTATTCAGACATTTCTTTGCCAACGAAAGGTTCAGGTCAAATACCGCGGTGGAATCACAGAAGAGAAGATACTGGAATGTGGAGTACCTCAGGGCTCGCCACTATCGCCACTTCTTTTCATGCTCTACATCGCTGTGCTTTTTGAGGATCATGGTCTAACGAGTAGGTTTGGTTATGCTGACGATGTAGCTATTGTCAGAATTGGAGACACCGCGGCGGATGCTATCTCCGCAGCTCAAGACGACCTCGACAGCCTTATCCTTCTCGCAAGAGAACACAGGATCGATTTTGACCCAGCAAAGTCAGAACTTCTAGTGATCGGAGGAGGGCCTAGAAAGAAAATCAACGCGGCTGATCTTTCCATCTTGGTGAAAGATCGCCGGATCGAACCGTCACCTCATATCCGGTGGCTAGGAATCTGGCTTGATACCCAGCTAAACTTCAAGCAACATGTACAGGAATGGAATGGAAAAGCTAATCGTCTAGTCCAATTCTTACGACATATAAACGGAGTTCAACGTGGTGCAGCACCCGGACCTCTGATTCGTGCGGTACATGCATGCGTTCTGAGCACAGCTCTATACGGGGCAGAAGCGTGGTGGCCAGGTCTCACTCGAATAACTACACTGCGAGATAAAGAAGTCGGCACTGGAGTAGGCCGGCACATATCTCTATTGGAAAAAACGATAATGAAGGCTATTAGAGTAGCACTCCCAGCGTGGCGTACCACTCCCAATGGTGCTCTTCATCGTGAAGCGGGAATACCCCCGGCATCGATAATTCTTCAGCAAAAGATGCTGCGGTCTGCAGCTCGTATGCGAAGAATGAATGCCTGGCACCCTCTAGCCATTCGGGCGGCTGAGGATCCGAAAGAGACAATAAGACGCTTAGGTCTTAGATCGGGACAAAGAGATCGATTGTTCAGACAACCAAAACGGTACATGACACGCCTACAAATGAGTGTGCGTCGAGTTCCGACAGCCGAAGGCCCCGGAAAGCTATACTTCCCACGTGGCACTCCAGCATCGATTCCATGTAGTCGAGAAAATGAAGCTAGGTCTGGAAGCATAAAGCGGTGGTTAGCTTCCCGCCCAGCTAACACAGTCTTCGCTTTCTCTGATGGATTATCATCGGGTCCCGGAAAATCATCCTGGGGGTATGTAGTATACCAAGGAGGCAAGCTAGTTGCAAGTGGCTCCGGTCCACTTCCCGGAGCAGAGGTATTCGATGCAGAAGTTGTAGGTGCCATGAAAGCCTTGAAGGCAGCAATAGAGGTAGCAAAAGACTTACTGATCTGCATTCTTCTGGACAACCAAGCGGCCACCCAGGCGCTCGAAAGAGGAAGATCTAACTCCTCGTAGTCGGTGGTGGACAAGTTTTCATCGCTGAGACACAATAAGCGTGTGGAAATACGCTGGATACCCGGGCATGTGGGGATTCAAGGCAATCAAGAGGCCGATAAGCTGGCCAAATCAGCCTTGGGAGCTTCCAATAACCGGTCACTAACCTCAGCTGCGCCCATTCTAGAAGATCAAGATCTAACATTTGCGGCATTAGGGAGGTGGGTTAAACAGCGTAGCCAAGAGCTCGTGGAAGAGTGGTGGCAGAAGTATCGACCGAAACGATACAAAGATCTGGACCTATTCATGCGTTGCAAAAGACCACCGGAACTAGCTTTACCAAGATGGGCGTACCATCGTCTTATTGCGGCAAGATGTAACGGCTGGTAAGCCGATTGGTCCCTGTAGCCTATGTTGGTTAACTTAGGCCTGATTCGAGTGGCGTTATTGATGGCTACCAATGCGCTAATATGCGACGCCACCCAATACAATACTTTTGCGTCGGCATTTGCATGGTATTCACATGGCATCGGACTCGGCAGTGCGGCACGGCAGTACGGCACAGCAGTACGGCACTGCACCACATGTTGATAGGCTTACACTGACTGGGAATATACGAGACCGAGTACAATCCTTCCGGACCATAACGCAATAGTGCTGTATTACAGGCATAGTCAGAACACTAGGGGAGTCCCATAGCATAGGAACAGGAGAGGGATTAGCCTTGGTGGCGAGGAGGCTTTCACGTATATAAATGAATAGATAGATGTAGTGGAAGTTCTCTCCTTAGAATTATTATTTACTACCATCGACCACATAGTTGCCCCAGCACTTGTCCCTCGAAACCGTGACACAAGAACAGGCCACGGGGACTATGCCGACTACCATCGACGTTTCATCCCCGAACATGAAGATCTGAAATGCGTTTGCGGCCGAGAGAAAAGGCCCTGGCATTTTTCAGAGTGCCGACCTGCTTTGCTACGTTGGAGAATCTATGAGAAAATGGCCCCACCTGGGGCCAGGGAACTGATAGGGGAGAAGGGATGGCAGAAGTTCATTCAATTCTTAACTACAAGCTGATATTACAGTCTGCCGAAGAATGAACAGGGTGGGAGGTGACCACGCTAAGATTGTTTCTGACCCGAGAGTAGATGGGTGTGGAAGATAGGGATGCGGCGCAGGGCACCGTAACTCAGACACATACTGTTCTTTTTTTTTTTTTTCACTCTTTTCTTTTGTCGCTTCTAGCTCCACTGTCGGTCATGTAGGTAGCAATGAGCTTTCAGAGCCCATCTACCCGTGTCACGTCTAAATAGATGTTAGGTTCTTCCTGTCACGTAAAAGATTTCAAATTCAAATTCAAATTCAAGCCAAGTTGTTGATACGCACGTGACTACAAATTCTGTACTTAGTTTCACTTCGGTAATTACTTGAATCAATGCGCTCTGCAACCTCGATAGCTGAGGGGTCATTATTTCCTTAGTACTATCCATATAATATCATTTTTCAAATCATCCATTAGATGATATCATCAACTGTTGGAATTTATATCTAGTATCTCCTTCATAGATCACCATTGTCAGTACAAGTTCACATTTGATACCTACTGACACCCAATAGCCACAGTGATACGCACTCAGTACCCATAGTGCCATCAACCCAGTGTGAGTGCGCCATTTTTGCGACTCATCATTGGACATGAACTAGTGCCACTCCACAGAAGGACAGTAGAATCATATAATTGCTATACAACTCATAGCTCATAACCACAACTAATGGCTTCCGCCAGCGAGTGAGAGAGAGCTGTGCAGTTACTCAAGAGGTTAGGCCCTGTCTCAAGGAAAGCAACATCATCTGTATAGCCGAATTTTAATGACCGAAACAGATTTTGATCGAGGTTGAAGGGTTCATTTCCGATCCGGAGATTCCCGCAAGCGTCATTTCTGTGAAATTATTGATTGGGAATCTATTTCGGTGGTATTTGATTTCTTCCGTATATCAGCAACTGATAGTGCCCTAAAATATACAAACGAGTTGCAGCTTTCCTCTAGAACTGAACTGAGAAGAAATTTTGCTCGTACTTCTAATATTTTGAGGAGAGGGTCACAATGACAAGGCCAGATGAGACCGAGCGGTTGTCCATATTTAACTCTGGACGTTTTAGAAAGATTTGAGATTCTTATGGAAGAAAAGAGAGTCCATGTGCCGCGAGTAATGACCGGGTGACGGAGGCACTATGGCTATTGTATAGAGCCTGAAGCTTATCATTTCGAGTGCGGGCTTCTTTGTGTATTTTGGTGTATGATCTAAGGTAGCTGAAACTGTCTTCACGAAATCATTGTAGAAAATATTTGTTTCAGGAGCGGGCAGTAGGGTCTAAATATCATTAGATTTAGGTCGTGAAGAAGTCATTGATTGATATCTGACTGGAGTGCCATCAGTGGCTAAAGCAGCACTACGATTTACAATAGCTTTTTCTCATGCTACAATAATTGAAGATAGAGCGCGTGAGTGTGCCGCTTAGGTGTTCTATAATGGCAGCAAAAATCTAGCAAGATTACTGACCAAAGGCATCGGATGATTTCGAATAACGCACGGTCCTTTGTGCGCGTAATGAGGGGTGGGCATTTAACTAACTTCAAATAACATCCAACTTGACTTCTGGCGACCGCATTTTTAGTGCTAGAAAGGCCCAGACTAGGGCTTATTTTCAAAAAATTTAAAGGACCTTCTGAATCTAGACTGCCAGCTCGAGCCCTTGCGGCGGCACAAACGCGTAGTTGTTTTCTAATCTTGAACCAACAATCGATTCTTCTAGGTCTATGAAAATAGATTTAACTAGAGACTGTTGTCTCCCAGAAACAGCTTTCAGATAGCTTCCTCTTTTATAGATGGAATTGATAGCTTAAGCTTAACGCATTTGCTAGCGCACAATTACTTTTGTGGATGATGCGATTCAAGTGGACTGTTTGCGCCTATTGAGAAACATGCTGTGGTCTTGGGATAATTATCGAGGCAATTTGTCTGTGTCAGAGCGTTTAATATTGAATATTAAAGAATATATGAAGACGTGAGATTAGATTAGCTTGTATAGGTGTGTGTTAAAGATACCTCGTGGCCCTAAACCATAAAATTGTAAAAGTTGATTCGTCTAAAATTAACCAAAAAGTAAGTGGCCATGCAGTCAGCTGTAACGAAAGTAAAAAATATCTTGTTACTATTTTTTAACATCACGTGGTTAGCGGTGATCATGAGTAACATACATTGATTATTAAATAAATCTTCAATTAAATATTTTTTTTTCACCAATATTTTCCATCGTAAAACTCGTATCCAATCTATCATGCATATTTAGTTTATTGAAATGTGAATCGGAATATTCGTTTTGAAACCATGTTAGTAGCTCATTAAATGAATTGTAAGAGATTCTTGTTCAATTATTTTTTCGGCAGTTCTTCATAATTTTTTCTAGATCCCCATCTCTATCAAGTCAAAATTATAACCGATTATTTTTTTGTGCTGTACGATATTATATTTAATTTAATCTCAAAAAATTTTGGTTGAATTCCGCCTATGTCAAGGTTCGATTATATGATACTAGTTACTGCGGTTTATAGCTAGTGGCATTGGAAGCAAAATAATTTACCACACTTGAAGTCGGATTTTCCGTGATTATCTAGTCTTTTAAAACCAGGTGGGTTCAATGCGTGCTTCAATTCCTGCATATCAACATTTTCACTTTTATTCTGAGGTAGTATAGACAGTTCCTGAGCCAGCTGGGAATTATTTTGGTTGCTATCACTTTTAATCTTTTTCTGGCCCACAGTAATATTTAATAGTGGGCTCTCAGCACCTGATGGATGAAGTTTATCTATATGTGAGCACGAGACTGGAACTTCCCTAACTTTAGGCGGATGACCTTCGTTAAGTCGGCGTTTTCGGATTGAAGATGGGATATTTTGAAGAATTTTCTCTTTATTTTCCAGTTCGCTAATTTTAGTTCGAGGCACTGAAATATCAGGCCAAGTTAAGGCCAGTGAAGGTGCTTGCAAATCAAAGTGTGATCTTTCATGCTCTATACCTAACTCATCAATCTCATCCCCCTTAGTGGATAGCTTCCGCTTCTTTCGACGTCTAACAGTCAATTTGAGGGCGGGGGATTGCAGAGGATCTTCTTTCCCCAAAATTCTTTGGCAGTCGGCGGTGAAAGATGGCCTGGGCTCAGATGAAATTAGCAGAATCTCTTTCTGTCCTAGACTCAATTCATCAATTTCTTCTATTCCTAGCGGTGGCACTAGAGCTTTATTTGTTTTTGAAGCATTATTAAAGCTAGATCTAGGTTCTTCTCTAGTTGAATCTGCATTTTGTGCACAGGGTCTAGCACTACTCTGACGAATCTCTGATTTTATCCCAAATTTTATATTAGACTGCGTTTCTGACTGATGAATAGCTACTTCTTGGCACTCCGATAAAGAATAAGTTTTACAATTAGATTGAGACATATCAAAATTTTTTGAGCTATTTCTTTTGGGGATTTTCTGCGCCTCTGTCTTGTCAATTTCATTGAAATTTTCTTGGAGTAAATGATGAGTGGTCAGTGAAGCTTGAATACTTAAATGTTTCTCTGTCAGTAATCTCTCAGTTTCTTCTTTAGCTGTTATTTGCGATGTTTGAGAAGGTATAATATCATCGAGACATGAACCTTCACACGTGTGAGCTTCTCTGAGAACAGCCAAATTATTACAGTCTTTTGGAGAATGACAGTCTGATTGATTTAAATGGTTCACGGCATGAGAAACTTCTATACAATTTTCTCCAACAGATTTTGCTGCTTGTAGATTATTTTCGAATAATTTTTTTGGCGTGAGCTGGGGTTTGGTACTACAGCTGGTATTTTTGGGTAAGGGAATCAGCTGTCCTAATTTTTCTTGTTCCCAACTTTCAGAATCAGCCTGCGTATGCAATTCAATTAATGACCCTTCAGTTTCTATAACATTTGCTTTCTGCTTCTCAAACTTCATGAGGTCCGGCGATTGAAATTTAGGAGATACATGTTTATTAGGCAATATATCAGATTTAGGATTACTGCTACCTTGCTTAAAATTACTAGGTTGTAGGTTATGATCGAGACAGTCAGGGGTATTTAATCTATCAATCGGACTGACTAATGATTGGGATAATTCATGACATTTTTGGGACTTAGATACTTCTTGGTTTTTTTCGTCTTGATGAGGGTGTACTTCGATTATTGGCTTGATTTTGCTTTCTTTTGGTTCTTTTGATACATGAGCGTTGCAAAAACGTTGCGATGTGGCTTCTTTTTTATTTTCAACACTTTCATTTATTAGGTGGGGGTCTATTTCCTGAAAACAACACTTCCAAGCCTTCAAGGTGCGATGAGGGTACTAAATCATTTCAGTCAAAACTTTCAACGTGCGGGTGGAGCATTGACCTTAGCTCTAAATTCCTTAAATATTCTTTGTTCTGCAAGCCCTTCCTGTCGACCTTTCGCGACCCAGTCTAGCAAAAGTCTTTTCTCCACTGAGTTCAAAGCTTGGTATGTGTTTTTACGGGCATTATAATGAGTGCGCCAATCTACCTTGTTGATTTGAGGTTGTCGGTTTTTATTAGATTCATGTACCCTTTCTTCTGGTTTCTCACCACGATTTATACTCTTGTCAAGTCTGTCAGGAATTCGCGCTACACTTAGCTTAGCTGGCGCCCATAGAGACTTCACCTTTTGCGGTGGAGAGAATTGTCTATCTTCAAATATATGCGGAAAGGTCACTTCAGCCTTGCAGCTTTCTAGGAGGTCAGTAGAAATACAAGGCACTCTCCAAGCGGACTCAATGCCATCACTTTGTTGAGAAATTGGAAGATCTGGAACTCTCCATGCTTTTTCTATTTGAGTTTCATTTACTGGAAGACGCTCGAATTTGTTTTTGTATGGTTTCTCTGCTAAATCGGGCCTGGAGTCTAGGGATATCCCACCAGCTAAAGTGCATGATGACACACAATTGTGAGGGCTATTATAAAGAATTGCACAATTCTGATCAATTTCTTCTTTGGGTTTCATCTGTAGGTAACGATTCGCTCGGAAAAATCCCCTTAGAATTAAATCGTCTTCCTCCTGGTCATCTATAGAATTGATGGTTTCATCTATATCTTTAAATTTTTCATCGTCACATTTCTCTTTTGTTGCTTCGGTTTCAAAAACACTACATTTATCAAAATTGTTGATTAGATCATTGGAAAGATTGTCGACTACCAGTTGCTTGTCGTTTTGTAGGTTTCGCTCGCCGGCATCTTTTTCATCGTGCATGAATAGCACATGGCCATTATTTACGACGATCTCGCCGGTTGCAATATCAATCTCGTCACCAATACCATCAAAGTCTTTACCATACTTTTCGAATATTGATTCGAAAGTTTTCTTCAGCTTGCTGTCTAGTTGCGCTCTCTTGTTGGCCAACTCGAAATCTTTATCGAGTGAATCATTGTGTTGGTGTTGTACCCATGTAGCTTGGTCCCGTAGATTATGGTCACCCTGAAAATGTATGCTTTTTGTAGTGCTATGAATATCATCATGAATTATTGCGTCGTCCAATCGACTAAGTTTTACGCATCGATCCATATTTCCGAGGTATTTTCATCAAACTTGCCAATAAAACGTCAGGGACTGATTTTTATCGTTACTTGGTTAACTCAGGTTATAAATAATAAGGCTAGAATATAGACCTATTAGAACCCGACAGCCTCGTATATTGACAGGTACCGCCGCAATTTTAGCCCATCAGGCAACAGTAGGGGAGGTAAAACTTGAATAAAGCATGCTTTTTTCTAACAATCTCAATCATGTACTGCCAGAAATGCCGCGCATCTCTGAGGTTTGATAGCACTTTAGAAGATCTCAATCCCGCAGCATATGATCTGCTTATCGGTGTGTTCCAGTTCATCAAATGGCTGACTAGAAGCTCAAGTTATTCACAGGAGCTGCAAGCCAGCAGGTGAAGCACATACCCCCTTCTCGATCACCTTATCCGCAAGGTCGCAAAGAGCTTTTTGAAAGAGCGGTTAAGAACACTGTCAATTCAAATAACTTTCTTAGTACTGCTTCGCGAACTTTACCTATTGTTCCCGATGGAGCCCAAACTGGATCGGGAAATTCAGCCATGTCATTTGTTATGCTTTCAGGATCTCAAGTTGAATCTACTACAGAAAGATCACACAAGAAAACTGGTTTAGATTCGGAAACTATGCAGGACCTTGATCTTTCAGATGGCGAGGCAAAGGCTATTTCACAAGATATGAATAGAATGTCTCGACTTTTTGAAATACTGACAGCTAGATCTGATATCGACTTTCCGGTTTGCGTTGAGTGTACAGATCTTCTTATCAATGGACTTCAAAGGCGCCTTGAAGCGGCCATTAAAGAGAGAGATGCATACGTTGGCTTCCTCAAACAGGTCAACTCGGAAATCCCGACCAGTGATGAAGTTCATGAATCGCAAGAGGCCTTGGCAATAGCTCAGAAGGATGAAGAGGCTGCATTGGAAACACTCAAAAAGCTTGAGGAAGAAAAAGTATTCGTAGACGCAGAAGTCGCTGCACTAGAAGAGGAAGCTCGAGCCTTAGATATAGAAGAAGAAAAATTCTGGCGTGAACGAAATGACTTTGCTATGAAATTAGCTGAATTTCAAAGTATCCGCGATAGTATTAATCTCAAATACGATCATGACAGTCAAGTTCTGGACAAACTTCAGCGGACCAATGTTTACAACGATACATTCTGTATCAGTCATGATGGAAATTTTGGTACTATAAATGGTTTACGATTGGGTAGGCTCTCTAACATTCCGGTAGACTGGTCAGAGATAAATGCCGCTTGGGGACACACAGTGTTATTATTGCAGACACTTGCAGACCGTTTGGGCTTCAAATTTCAGGGCTACCAGTTGCAGCCGATGGGCTCAACTTCTCGTATATTGCGGTTTGAGAAAATTTCAACATCAAACTCTCGTAATACCTCAAGAGCGCCTAAAAAAACCGTGCTTGAACTTTTTTCCTCTGGCGATATGCCGCTAGGACTAACTTTTATGCATCGTCACTTCGATACAGCAATGGTTGCTTTCCTCGAATGTATGCGACAGCTAGGCGCCTTTGTTGAAGCCAAAACTACTCATGAGAATTCTACCATATCCAAATCTGTACACAAGTTACCGTATAAAATTGAAGGTGACAAGATTGGTGACGCTAGCATCAAGCTGGGCATAGCTCAGGACGACGCATGGAGTAGAGCGTGTAAGTATACTTTGACCTGCTGCAAATTTCTGCTGGCTCATGCAAGTAACGTCAATACCATGGCAAATGATAGACGGACATTGTAATACAAGAAGTGATGCCAAGAAGGTTCAATGAAATTACTCAATGAGAATTGCTCTTTATAAGCCCCGATGCCGTAAAGGACAGATAAAATTCCATAAGAGAAGTTTTTTCAAAGGATGACAATCGAAAAATATCAGTCCTGAGAGCCTTCATACTCAAATTATGTTGATTAATTGAAAGACTTACATTAAAGACGGACTCAATAAAAACACACTTATTGACTCGTTTTCAGAAGAGTTTACTGGAATGCGAGGCCATGTTACCATGTCTTGGATTGCGTGTTCATACAGATACTTTGCCGCAGACTTAATCACCGAAATTAATGACTTTCACTCATCATCTGTTCCAAGAATGTCAGCTCAAGTCAAGGTGCTTGCTACGACTGAAGTCAGAGATGTATTATGTTGTATGGTGCGGAAAGGAAATAAGACTTTTTAATATAGTAGCATAGTAGGTTTGCTTCTATTACTAATTCATTTCTGAGTTGCGATGGATCAAATTGCTAAAAAGCTCTTTTAATCAATAAAAACAACAATTATGGATAGCCCTTTGAACTGTAATTATAACTTTTGAACAAAACTGAAAGATGTGGAACAAGAGCAGAACTTCGATATTAAACTGGGGTGTGCGAGCGCGGCGGGACTTAGGTTTTTGCTGCCCTAAATCCTTTTCCCATTATAATACGGCCATTCGTCTTTATGGAACAATTTATAGGAACCAAACAAGACACTGGACAAGATTACATATTACAGAAGAATATTTTTCTGATACTTTATTTCTGATATAATTTAGAATAGTTATTTATTTATGAAAAATTAACGCCAAGAAGGTACATAGGATAATCCTAGCTTCGAAGTCCTCTAGTGAACGTTTGGCGTGCCCACGCGGCCTATTGCCGTGAGACATCTCTATTGTCAAATGACGTCTAATTAAATTTCCACAGACAACATAGTATCGTGTGGCTACTTGCTACCGCCAAGCCTAATACTTTTGCGCCTCGAATAATTTCGCAACTATTCCCATAAAGTTAGAATGATTGGGGCTATCAATAAGGCCATGTTGTTGAGAGACATGTGGCTACAAATTATGTACTTCGTGTCACTTCGATAGTTACTTGAATAAATAAGTCGCCATATCCCCCCAGGATGGAGCAATAGCCTTCGCCCGTTGGACAATAAAATCAATAAATACTTGAATGGATTGTGATCTAACGCTGTTCAATCTGCGTAATTTGTGGTAAGCAGTTATTATATCTCACGTGATGGAACATGGGAAGGTAGTAAAAGATGGTTTGGTTTGGTTTGTTCATTAACGTGCTAGGTTAAGTGACTACCGTTGCACTCCTACTGGAGATTAAGTCTCAAGGCACTGTGTTATCGGTATTCCGTAGAGTACGAGTAGGGTATAAGTTGGGTATAGGTGTGGAGTAAAGTGGTGATTCCTACGAGGATGTGATATAAAGTCAGCGTAAGGTATAGGGTTTACGGAAGAGGTAAATATAAAGTGAGTAATAGGTGAGAAGGGTACAATAACGGCGGCCTTCTTTAGAGAAGAGATAATTACGTGAACAATAGGTATGAGTATAAACAGAAGACGCTATGCGAAGAAGGATACTCCTTCACGTTGGGTCTGTATGTACATCAGATAATAGGACAGCCCTAAGCTCTGTCTCGAACAGTATTACTACGCAATTCCTATGAAACGACCCTATGTTCCTGAGTCTGTCCTAATTCTTTAGGAACTTAATCTAACACCGAGTTGTGTTTTGGCATGGAACTGCCCATGAGACACCATCCTAGCTACCACAACTTTTATCCATGAAATTTAGCACGGGTGGGGCCGGGCTGGATCAGGTTAACTACCATTAAGTACATCTCCCTCGACCCACTTAAATGACCGGGCCACCTCAGACTTCACCCATGTGTTGAATCATATCAAGCCCAACCGTCCAGAGAACCCCATTTTGGCGCGCCGAAGCGCAAATTCCTCCTCAGCCTCGGCCACCACGCGCCTGAGCCCTTGACATCCTCATTGACTCCGAAATATAAATGCAGTCCCAGATCTCATTGTTGCTCTAACCTTGCACCTTCATATCGTACTGCTGGGTTGTTGTCATCATTAGGGATTTGTGCGATCCTCTCGGTGTATGTTCCCTTTTCTTCTTCCTTTGTACCCGTCCTGTTTCCATCATGAATTTCCTCATTAGGGCGTGTGTAGGTAGGTGATGTGTCGAGTATGGAGGTGGGTCACAGGTGTAGAATCAGCTGAGAAATGCTTCGTCACAAATTGTTGGAAAATATACTCTGTACGATATTATATGGATAAATATGAAGTAAAGAAGACTTGATATTTTACAACTATGTGAACATTGGACTTATATATACATCTTAGGGGAGAAATTCCCACTAGTCTCATGTGCCTGTCAAACCTAATGATGACCAGCCACCTCTCATCTACCATGATGAGCCAAGGTACACTGTTGTATGTAAATATCCAAACGTATAGGCGACAGTAGGCGCGATTAGCGCACTCGGGACATGTGAGGTTCCGAGCGCGCGCTGTATACTTAGTATACAATGGGTGTGGGTGTAAGATTGGGGTGATATCACGTGGTGTCTCGTGGCTCCTAACTACAACGGATCTTGTGTAGAGCTTGAGACTAATACGTGAATTCTATATCCTTCAAGTGTCGGATGTCTATGTGTCTATATACATTGATTACTCCTTACTACTCAACGCTAGTAGATCTACTGCTGTGGTCGCGGGCTGTGACTGCGGGCTCTGACAGTGCGATTTGCTGCGCGTGAGGTCATAGGATAATTACGATTACGTGTGTGTGTGTGTGTTTCCTACATCTAGCTAATTCGTGCCCTGTAGATCTATCCGGGATCCACAATGTGTAGAGAGAGTCGATCTTGTCGGGAACCTGAGACGAAACAGGTAGTGGCTGAATCCTAAATTCGAGAGTCAGAATTTCCAACACAAATACATAAGGAGCTTGAGAGATATCGGGTGTTTGAATTCGACCCCCAGACAGACCTAAGCCCATTCGTGAACCGTATGTTGGTGGTGATGAATTTTTGTTCGATTTTCTTGCGGTTATGAAATCTCTGTCGACTGATTTTTCGACCAAAATATCGAGTTCAACTCCTTCAAGACGAAACCATCAAAAAAATTCATCCCACCCTTTTTAGTGATTGAATCTCGGCTCTGGGGGAATATTTTACTCCTACGTTCGTAGATGACACCGCGTACAGGTGTCCAGTCTTGCCCTCCTCTCTTTCTACCGTATTCCGCTCATGCTTATTCCTGGTGTCGTTAGTTAATGCCCGGACTTTATCCGTCAGCGTGGCGCTAGGCGCACGGACGATCCATGATTTCGCTGCCTAGATCCTCATAGTGACCCTTCTGAAGCATTCGAGGAGGCCGGCCAGCTGGGCGCTGCAGACTTGTGGATAAATGTAGCGTCGTAAATTTGTAGTGGGAGATGGCCGGAAATTAATGGAGCAAGCTCCTGTTTGCAGTTGGAGCTACTTCTTTACTAGTCTTTGAGGCGAGATGATGTGCGGTTAGAAAGAGGTTGAGGACTCAGATGAAGATGGTAAGAAAGGCATTGTCGAGAAGTCGTCAAATGCAGATATGCTTGAGGTTGCATTCGACTTCGATTCGGATGCGATTCTTCTTGGCTATCCCAGATATGCAGAGCATACTGAGCGATTACACCAGTACCACTGGACGGTTGAGGATCCATGATCATAAATATTGTATTATAATTTGTCACGTGTACCCCAGTTTTTATGCATAATGCACACTAAGCTGGAAACCTGTATATACTAGACACATCCTGTAAATTTAGAGGGGGAGTCACACACCGTCTTAAGATTTCACTATATAGAAGATATAGTAGAAATCCCGAGACATCGTGACCTACGATTTCCGTATATTCACATTTTATCAATCTAGCACCCTAGGAACTTAAAACCTCACGGTGAAGAATTCGTTGTCAAGGAAACAAGGCGTTCGGGCAAAGCAGTCACATGATATATGGACATTTCTAAATGCACGCTAAACGCGTCCATAAATAATTATTAGTTTCACGGTACTAAGTATCTCCCTCTTTGTAGACAATCTAATTCACCAGATCAGACATCGTCGGTCCCCATCCACCTCACTCCCTACTGTGACATACGTCTTTGTCAGCAAATCTAAGGTTAGGGCTGGTAGACTTAGATGTTGTTGTTTTGGGTCTGTTGACGGATGCCGATCACGACTGCATTGGCCTGACGTCGGGGTTGGCATTTATCTATGATTTAGCATTGTCGGCATCTCACACACAATTTGAGACCCAGATCCCTCCACGTTTACGCGGGTAGTTAGGATTACTGTCCCCGGTGGGCAATTTGTAAAAACATGTATTACTAAATTACTAAAAGTTCATCAGATGGAAGTATTTTAATATGGCTCCGACCACTTAAGTGGCACTAGACTAATACGTGCCATGGGACGATTAACCTGGTCCGGCCCCGCCCTGCCCCGCTTGTGCTCGAGCTCACTAGGAGTGCGATGAGAACAAGATGTCAAGCGCCTGTAATCACAAACAAACGAAGAAAATCCTCCAAGAAACCTAATGACCAGTAACCTAATACGACTCAACTGAATCATTGAAGAGTGTATCATGGCCAATTCCAAGTATGAAAAGAAAGATAATGGATGCAATTCTAGCTAAATAACGCATCCAAGGTACGAGTATGTCAAAGACTTTGAGCAGCCAGACATTATACTACCCAACACATGGATTGTCATCCGTATTGATGGAAGGGGCTTTCACAAGTCAGCCAATTCCTGGACCCAGAATCATAAAAATAGCTTAGCTTTTCGATAGGTTTTCGAGCAGGTACTCATTTGATAAACCAAACGATCGACGGGCTCTCGATCTCATGAATTATGCTGCAAAGGCACTCATGACTGAACTGCCAGATGTTATTCTGGGTTACGGTGTCAGTGATGAATACAGGTAATCAAATATTCCCAGAACGCTGGTTAATGAGGATGGGATAACGATCGCGGGCTAGCCTGTACTATTCTACTTCATTGTAAACGCTAACGCTCGCCATAAGTTTTGTATTTCACAAATCATGTGCACTCTTTGATAGGCGTTCAAGGTATCGAAGTCTCTAAAATTATTCTTGAAGACATGATCTGGTGCTAATAGTGATGCAACAGTAAGTTAGTGACAACCGTCGTATCAACATTTACAGCTTATTACGTTCATTCCTGGCCCAAATTCTTTCCGGATCAGCCACTTTCTCCACCATTGCCCACATTCGATGGAAGAGCTGTTCAGTATCCGAGTGTTCAAAACCTGAGGGATTATATGTGTTGGAGACAGGTTGACTGTGAGTTTTTTCTACCATGCGACTGTAACTTATCGGTTCTGACAGGCCATATAAACAATCTCTACAATACAACTTTCTGGGCATTGATCCAGCTAGGAGGACTTGATTCTAAAAGCGCTGAAAAAGAACTTGCTGTAGGTCAAGAGCATGAAAATACATGGTGACCTTCATTCTCATAGAAACTGACAGGGTTCCTTGGCTGCCGAAAAGAATGAAATCCTTTACTCAAGGTTTCAAATAAACTACAATAATGAGTTGGAAATTTACAGAAAGGGAAGTGTCGTTTACAGGGATGTAAGAAATCCATTAATTACGATCGGAAATTAACTGACAAAGCAAGTACGAGCTAACAGAGCCGGGCTTATCCATATCCAGCATTGCCAAAATTCTAGACCAGGCCGAAGATATTGCACCCTCCAAGAACCAGGAGGAGAAAGATAAAAGGCGAAAAGCCAAGGCAAAAATTACAGTCGAGCATGTGGATATCATAAAAAATGAATTCTGGGAGAGACGACCTTGGCTTTTTTCAAATAGACCGGGGGCTGTGCCAAAAGAGCCCTGAAGCTAGAGAATACCCGTGTGAAAATTTCGAGTATGCTATCTAGCTGTACTCGCCCACATACTAAATTTACATGAGAAGAAAATCTGAAGGTACCCATTGCGCTTATGAGCTGGGTATGACAAGATATTACAATTCAATTTAACACATAAGTCAGAATTTGATAATTGTTGAAGCTACGAAGTTTTCATAAAGCTATTAGCTTTGCTTGTCTGGACTATCATTGGTCAGAACTGTTAGTTGTGCTGCACAGGACCAAGGACTCGAGCCTTGTCAGTAAAGCAGTATAATAGAATAGAATTAAATTTAAGTTCCTACTGGGCATTTCACTATGAATGATACTACCCAGACGGTAAATGGCTATTCTCAGGTGGCCTCAAGCAAGGACTGAATCATACTCTCCAGCCTTCATTGCTCTTAGAGTATATTTTTTATTTTATTTTATTGTCCTGTCTGAGTCTATGACTATGTAGGACATTTAGGTCCTCTCTGCCTTCTGGCCAAGGATACCTATACCAGTAGTTTATCCCTTCCTATGCCTCCCATACAGCCCCCCTCAGACAGTACCACCCCTAACCAGTCCTCATTCGATCATACACTAAGAGGAGCCCTTAGCCCTTCATTATCTCCCCTCTCCGGCCAGCAAAACGATGACCATTTGCGGGTGTATGGCAGCCGGGAAAAGTCGCAAAAACCATTGGTTGCGGGGCTCTTCTAATACCGACATTAGGAATAAATCCGAAGACATATTGCCCCTTCTGAAGCGTTCGAAGAGGCCGGCCAGCAGGGCGCTGTGGACTTGTGGGTACCTCGGGAAATTCACACTACGCCTTCCTAGCCTCATTCCAACTCTTTCCCAAAGCTCGTGCTTAGATGTCAGTAAAGTCTTGACAGAGCGTGATTGCTGTATGGTGGCTTAGCCCAACTTCTTTTGTGCCGTCCAGGGCGCTGGGGAGAGCCGTTGACTCATCGACAAAAGAAGTCCTCCTGGCTAATTAGCCGAAACCTTGGTCTTGGCACCCAAAAATAATCCAAAGTTGAAAACACCTCAAAATGCCAGTCCCAGCACGGTCTTTAGAGACCTGTTCCACCTCCCGCTCCACGCCTCAGCCGCCTGTTTTCCCTCAAGATGTTTGTCCCAATAGAGAAATAGTGACTCCACTAGCCAGGACCCAGTCTTTGTATTTTTCGACTTGATTTCCTCCTTGCGGGTATAAATAACATCGTAAATTGTTCGGATTAGGTCCTGGTCAACGATGTCTAGCCTAATTGTACTATGCTGCAGGCTACTGTTCCAATTATTCATGGAGTCATAATCAGGGTAATTCTTTTTTTTGCATCAGATTTTAATTGCGTATGCAGCTATCTAGCTGTGATACAATATCAAAGAAAGGTACAGAAAAGATGATTCGGCGTAAAGGAAGAGCACTCATGCCTCAGATTTCATCTGCAAGTACCACTGCGAAGTTATGACGGCTTTTTCTTCACCCCAAGTCAACCCTCATCCGTGAATACCCGCCCAGGGAAACGTCTCAAAAACCCTGAGTTATCCAGACATGCCTCCGTCATCCATCAACTTCTCTCCGCGAGAAATGTAATCTAAGATGTCTCCTTCCCGAGTGGAGTAGGTGCCCAGGCTACTCAAACCATACCGGAGAACACCACCAGGAGGCGGACCGCAGCACCTTCCATCGTCGGCCTGTTTTTATAGTGTGAGCTGCACTCTCGCAAGCGAAGTCTTGGCGCGCACAAAGCTCAATTTGTAAAACTCCTTGCCAAAACGAGCAGGGTGTAAATGACGCTGTGACCTCGATCTCGCTTCCTGGTAGTGATTGCTTCAAGAGCAGCCAAAGACGCATGAACCTCCTCTTCGTAGACCTCCGCATTGGTTATTTTGCCCGAGCCGCTTTGCTCAATTACCGTGACTTTGCCGTTTATAAAAGTCACAAAAGCTCATGACACTCTGTGGGTTGACGCCCCAGAACCATCATTGTAAACGCAGAGACAGTCGGGTGGAAGTGTCGGTAGCCACTCTCTTATAAACTTAGCAGCCTCTTTCTTACTTGTCCAGCAAGGATTCAGCTGAGGGGGGACCGGAGGTCGGAGCGGTGGAGGAAATTCAGCCTCTGGCAGAAGTCGGTACATCCTCTGGACCCTCGAATCATGAGCTCTGTCGAGACCTAGTCAGCTTTTGTTGCATATCTTTAGTCCAAGTTGGTGGCGAGCGCTGTCGGTACTTTCCATGGCCCGATGTCGAAGCGGATGGTAATCATCCAGTCTTCGGATTCGTGCGAAGGTATTGAGCCTGTGTTCTTCGAGCAGAATGTGTGCAGGTGGGATACCAGTCTCCCTTCTGTTAGAAATTATCAAGGATTTCTGGGAGGAAATACCTCAAAGAACAAGTCTACAATTCCGGACAAGAATTTACTGATAGTTGTATAGGATACCGATGTGAAGGGATTTCCCATTTGTTGTTCACAATTATGGGTCCAAAAATGAATATACATTTTATCTAAGCAGGAGAATTGCTACGACGCGCGCGCAAGATGTTTGATTCCAATCGAGTGCGTTTTCCCATGACACTAGCGCGCCTTTGTTCATAGACGGAGCCGGATAGTTCCGGATCCACATACAAGGCTACAGCCTGTAACAATCGAACTCTCTTCTCAATATAAATTAATAATATGTAATATTCCGTTAACTTGGTTTAGCATATTCAAATAAGTCTATCCTTAAATACAGATTACCAAGGCTTTAGTGATCCCAAACTCCCAGTGATCTAGCAACAACCGGCCACTCAATCATCGCAAGGTAGCATTTCCTAGCCACTGAATTCCAGATGCCACTGAACCTGATTTTGCCTAGCTGGGCTTAATCATATTCAATTGATCTTGATGATCATACCTAGAAATCTAAACCTTCATACATACTAAGTCTAGATTTTCAATACCTTCTTAGGGCTATGATGGGCTTGGTGCGCCAGGTTGGTAGGGCCACGCGCATTCCTAAGGCAGAAGTTTGATCAATAACTTTGCACTGTCTCTTGCACGGATTTCGCGCGACACCCCGATATGTTTCCCTGGTTGGCCCCGGGTACCAGGATTCCGCTGCGTGCATCGCGATTGGCAGGACTACCGTGCGGATCACTGTGGTTAGTAGGTCGGGCCTTGATCCCTGGGTGCACTGAGTGAGCCGTCGGAAGTATTGTACTAGACACATTGCTTTACTGGTCCACTTGGCGACGTGGCTTTCGAAGGTCAGGCCACGGTCCAAGTAAACTCCCAGCCATCGGATGTTGTCGGATGCTTGAACATCGCGAGGGTCTACCCTTATTGTCGGAAGGTTGTATCCCCTGGATCTAGGTCCGAGGAAATAGATTGCTTCGGCCTTTTCTGGGTCGAAAGAGACGGCATTTTCAGCAACCCACCCTAGGACTGCATCGACTTCTCGCTGGACAGCTACTGCGGCTTCGTTCGGAGTTGAGCCAATGCCGAGGATAGCAACATCATCTGCATCGCCAAATCTCCAACTACTGCCCCCCACGACTTCGGCCATGTAAAGGAGGAAGAGAATTGGGGATAAAGGCGATCCTTGTGGCAGCCCGCACTCTAGGTAAATTGTGTCTGTTACTCCGTCCTTGTGTCTGACGCGGGCCGATCGTTCTTGCAGAAACGACTTTATCCAAGTGATGGCTGGTTTCGGCCACCCAACTTTGTTCACCCTCTGCAGCAGCCTTCCGTGGAGTACAGCGTCGAATGCCCCCTGTACGTCCAGAGTCACAAGGACTGCTTTCTTCTGCCTTTTCATTGCATACTCCACATCATGGATGACGCATGAGACGAGGTCATTAGCGGATCTGCCGGAGAGTGCTCCAAAAAGCTGCTGCGGCACAGCCTTGTGCGAAATGGCGGTGTAAGCCATACGACTTGCGACTAGTCTCTCAAGGCCTCTGCCCAGAGAGGAGGTGTTTGGATTAGGTTGTAGTTGGCAATTCCTAACCTAATTGTGTTAGATTGCAGGCTTCTGTCTTAGGTATTCATGGTTTCGTAATTAAGGTTATTATTAAGGCTTAGCTTCGGTTATCTCACTGATTACCGAGCCGGCAGTATATCAAGGAGGCATGTAGCTAAGGTGGAAGTATCGCACGGTAAACTATATCTGAAGCTGCTACGTATTGTAGTAGCTAAAAGAATACTGCTATTCGGAAACTACATCCCCATCCCAGAACCATGAGATAAATTAGGCTATGCACGCTAGATATAGAATGGCTAGCGGATATGGTGAATATGGGGGTAAATACGTAGATATATAAAGACATTGTAGCCTCTAAATTTGAGGACAAGTCTTCAACCAAATTATATCGGAATTAATCCTAGCCTCTCATAAAGCAATCTTATGAATCATTTTCCGTGTCTGTGATAACAGACCAATAAACAAAGTCGACGATCAAGTTCAAAGTCGATTAGGAGGGTAGTGCGATGGGCCTCCATCCTTTAGCTGTGCTGAGATTACGGCCAGGCTTGAGGAGGAGAATCACTTCGGCTAGCTTGAATGCCTTCGGGAAGTGGTTCAGTCGAAGTGAGCCCTCAAAGAGTACTCTCACTGCTTGTCCAATTGACGGCCAGGCTGTCCTAAGAAGACGAACAGAAATTGCGTCTGCTCCAGGGGCTTTATTCCGGCAGGCCGTTGTGACCCACTTGGTTTCTTCATCAGTGACGCTTGAGACCCATGGAAGGTTTCCGAGTCCTGGCTCGATGTTCTCAGCCTCGACGTCGTTTTGGCTGGTGAACCGACCGAGAAGAAGGTAGCGAAGCAGAAGTGCACGCTTTCCTGGGTTCGATACAAAACTATCCGGAGTTTGGAGTGGTAGAGCAGGGGATGTAAGTCGCGGCTTTGCCCAGCGTGCCATCCGATACATGTCGACGTCGGTTATTGTCAACGGCTAAGAATAACCACCGAAGAAGTTGGACAAAGAAATGTCTCAGGTCAAAAATAGGGACTAT